AGATCTGAGCCCTTGACTTTGGTGTTATCTACATCATGCTGTAACCAACTGAGCTAACCAGCCAGACCATGAAGATCCTTTTTAAAGATCATTAAACGTATTCACTTTAATCAGGTTTTACAATTCAATAGTCATTTTTCATAGAGTATAATAGAGCTGAAAAATATATGGTCAGAGAAAGCTATACATTGATTAATATAATTTTATTTCAGTTTCATAGCACATTAGTACAAGGTACTTTGGCTTCTAAAAATCAAAGCATTTATACCACTCACTATGCATAGAATTTAAAATGCAATAAAATATACACCTTCCTCATCTCCTCCCAAAACCTGTTAAATACACTCTAAATATAAAATATTTACTCTGCATGGAAATACAGAAATCATTTGCTTATCCTTACAAGTGCTGTCATGTTCTTAATAGACAATTTCTTGGTTCAACCAAATGAAGAAGTGGATCAGCAGTCTGTTGTGAAATACTGCCTTCCCTCTCATCCCAGTTGCAAGGTACTCAATAAAGTGAATTATGACCATCTATCATCTTTACAAGCAAAACCGTCACGTCTTACACATTTAAAGGAACCTCAGGGGCCGGCCCGGTGGCGCACTGGATAGTGCGCTGCTTGGGAAGCGCGGCGGCGCTCCTGCCCGAGGGTTCGGATCCCACATACAGACCGGTTCCCGCTCACTGGCTGAGCGAGGCGCGGGAAGCGGCGCCGAGGGTTGCGATCCCGTTGCCGGACACGGAAAAAGACAAAAAAAAAAAAAAAGGAACCTCAGTAAGTATTTTTACAACGGCCACGTTTTTTTTTTTTTGTCCTTTTTGAGACCGGCCGCACCGCGCTCAGCCAGTGAGCGCACCGGTCATCCCTATATAGGATCCAAACCCGCAGCGGGAGCACTGCCGCGCTCCCAGCGCCGCACCCTCCTGAGTGCGCCATGGGCTCGGCCCCAACGGCCACTTTTTAATGCTGAGGTAACTTCAAAGTAAATAAGTGTTATGATTGTGATTCAGGTTAATTACACTCAAATTTATTGAGTGAGCCCAAATACTCCTGCTTGACAACTTTCAAGTGAAGTCCTTAAATTGAGATTCAGCTGATACTAAACTAGGAAACTTATAGCTGTTTCCAAATAAGAAAAAGTTAATTTCTTTTGGTAAAGGGAATAGAGTAAAGCAATCTGGTAAGCATCACATTCTAAAGCTTCGCTTTCCATTTATAATTCATGATGACATTACTTTCTCAACAATAAAACAGACGATTTTTCAATAAAATTTTTGGTTAACTGTATGGCTGAAATAATATTTATAATCCTTATTTTCTCTTATAGATTGTTTTAAGCTAAGAAGGATGTTTTAAACTAAGAAAGAAGGACATGATAAATGATTTTAACATTTACCATAGCAGAATAGACTATTGCTATGCAAAGAGAGCAAGGCTGAATGATTTAACTTCATCCAGCATACTGCTAATGCCTAAATGATTTCATCATCATGTATGAACCAAAAATATGTTGTAAGAAGTTTAGAATATTATTTACATCACAGTCTTTCTTTGCCTATAGAGAACCCACATGATTTGATGTTCCAAGGATACAAGCATGGTAAAGTAGATGAAAAAAATAAGAGATTCAAACTGCTTGTAATTTGGGGAAATGGGTATTTTAATGTTTTCTGTAGTATTCAAAAGGAACATATGAAATCTTCATGAGAGTATTTAACAGGATTTTGATGATAAACTTCCTAACAGTAATTAGAATTGATCAAAATACGACTTAGTACTTACTACATATGACACAGTGTACATTTTAGGAAACAATGGTGAATAACAGATCAATTTTTTACTTTAAGATTTTTTTTCCAATCTGCTAATGAATACACATAAAAATATAGCTATGATATAGAAGACTGTGAATATGAGCAAAAGATTATGAGAATTCTGATAGAGGAGAGAAGCAATACACTAAGAGGAAATCACGAAGGATTCATAAACTTGTGACAAAATGACACTTGAAGGGCTGGCCAGTAAGTTAAGTTGGTTAGAGCACCACCTGGTAAAGACCAAATCAAGGGTTCGGATACCTGTACCAAACAGCCACCAAAACAAACAAACAAAAAAAATGAAACTTGAAGGAGGATAAATTTTCAACTAGGGAGATAGCACATAGGATAAAGACATATTTAAAAACAAGTGAGACTGGAGGTATTCAAGGCTGTTTGATTTCTAGGCACTGATGAGTTTAGAGAAACATTTAAAAGAGTAGGCTTACAGGAAAATTTCAGAGGGTTAAGTATGAAGTGGCCAGTATAAAAAACAGAGCCAACAGACAGATTACTATTGAGACAAACAGAGAAAAAGAGACCAAGATACAACGAGGAGAGACCAAGAGGTAGAAAGGAGAGACTGAGAACAGACACTGAGGAGAACCTAAGAGACGCCAATATATGCTGAGAAGGAAGACTGGGAGGGACAAAAAGGGGCAGAGACTCAAAAATAGAGAGTGAAAGTTATGGACCACATGTTATGTCTCCACCAAATTCATATGTTGAAATCCTAATCCACAAGGTGATAGTCTTAGGTGATGGGGACTTCAGAAAGTGATTATGTCATGAGGGAGGATCCTTCATGAATGGGATTAATACCCTTATAAAAGGGACCCTAGAGAGCTTTCTCTTTCAGCCTGTGAGGGTACAACAAAAAGCTAGCAGTCTGCCATCAAGAAGAGGGCCTCACAAGAACCAAACCATGCTGGCAACCTAATCTTAAACTTTCAGCCTCCAGACTGGGAGAAATAAATGTGTTGTTTAAGCCACCCAGCCTATGGTATTTTGCACAGCAGCCCAAACTAAGACAGACACATACAAGAGGGAGAAAGTAAAAAGATAATTATTTCATTGGTGTTGGGTAAAGAGGCTTAGTGAATGCTTGCAGGCAAATAAAAAATCTAACTGAGAGGGAAGATGAAAGACATCAGTAGGAGAGAAGACTAATGAGACTAATGAAGATCGTACCAGAAAAGGTCAACAGAGCATGAATCAAGACTTACAGGGCTGTTAAGATAAAAATGAAGAATACTGAACAAACACATAATGAATAGCATTAGTCAAGAAAAATAGTAAAGGAGAGGTCATATGCTGCGATTCAGCAGGACACCATCAAGCACAAAGAAAAACCTTAAATGTTTGCTGAAAAAAAAATCAAGTATTAATTAAATTAATGAATGTGTACCTGTCAGCCTCAGCCAAGTTCTGTTAAGCTGTTAGCAGCCAGAACACAAATAAATGCTTACCACATTTGTAGTTAGCCTTACATTTCAACTGCCTGCTTGACCATCTCCAATTCTATGACTCTTAGGCATCTCACCACTCAGCTCTTCAAACCAAAATGTCAGATTCACCAAATATTTCCTTCTTCCTCATCCCCCCACATCCATCTACTCTCTATATAGCAGCCAAAGTTATTTTTTGAAATAAAATCCCATCAATGGCTTCCCTTTGCATTTAGGATATAACCCAAACTTCTAACCCTATAAGGTCCTGAATACTCTGGCTCCTGCCCCATCTCTTTCCAATTTCATCTCTAGCCAGTTTTCATACTACTTACTCTCACTCCAGCTAGACTGGCCTTCTTTTAGTTCCTTAAATTCACCAAGCTCCTGAGTCATTTTGTAGAATTTGCATTTGCTGGTCTTGCTACCAGAAATACTCATCTTTGACTGCATGGCTTCTATTTCTTCAGATTTCAGCTTGAATTTTACTTTCTCAAGTAAGCTCTATACCCAAACTGATGAAAACTTGGTTCCTTCCCGTTAGCATCTCATAAACATTCTGTGAGTTTCCTTCACAGTACTTAATCACAATTTGGAATTATTTATTTGGGTATTTATTTGTTCAGTGTCTACCTCCCTAATAGGATGCCTCACTATAGGCACCAAGAGGGCAGAGACAGCTACATCTCTAAATGCCTAGTACTTTGTAGACATCTTAAACAATAATTTAAGAACATTTTGCAATGCTTTTTTCTTATCAAATTGAAAGTGTCCAGAGAATGGACAAGCAATCTAAACAAAACAAAATTTACATAAAATTGGGAAATTTATTAGTAATTAGCAAGACATTGTAAAACCTGGCAATCAAAGTAACTCAAAAATGAGTCACGTATCTATTATATACCACTGTAGTGGATGCTAAGGATGCAGCTGTAAATAACACAGTAAACTATAGCCAACATATTCAAATTTTTCTCAGAACCAAAAAATCTCAAAAACAAACTCTCAATTCTCAACAAATAATATCCGTTCATTTTAACAGACAGTTCTAATGACAGAAAAAGCTTTCCCAAAAGTACTTTGTTTTCAGTTGTTTACTGAATTGTTAGTAAAAGTTGTCAATCTACGGGAGAAGGGAAAACACAATTCCAGGCTTCCATTTCCCAAGTACAGTCTCAGAGGACTTTGTCTTTATGACTGAAAGCATAATGGCAGTAGTAGCAACAAAAATATCTATAATAACCTAGGTTTTCTTGGACAACCAAGTGAATGTCCATGCACTACTAAGCTGATCTCAAAATATTTCAAAATATTATGTTAAAAGATAAAGAATAGATGATCCTGCCACACTGTAGAGCAGGGGGAAATATAATGAACCAAGGGCTGGAGATACAGCTTGCCTTGTACCTTCAGACAATTAATTTCACTTATCTAGGTCTCACTTTCCACAACTGTTAGATGAGAGGTTTAGACCAGACCCTTTATAAGAATCCCAGGAGCTCTGGTCATGTCTCACAATATAATCATGTAAGAAAATAAATGTCAAAGTAAAATACTTTCTGGATAGACTGATGACAAAAAAAAAAAAGGTCCCACTTCTCTTTAAAAACCTCAAAATCAGGACTCTAAACTTTAAAACAACATGGTAAAGATGTTTTATACTGACAAATAAAAGTATAATAGTTGAAATTTTATTCATTCTTTCTTGAATTATTAAAATATTTAACATTAAGTTTCAACCAAATCAATAATGATGCTCACCGATACTGATATGTCCTCATTTTTTCTCTTAACACTTGAGTCAAACAAGACATTTCTACCTCGTCTTTCACAGTCTTGATACACAATCAGTCGAATCTGGCTTGGATCAAACTCTGGCAAAGGCCAACTTGAAAGAAAAATAAAAATCCATTAGAGTTATTTTAATAAATTTTCCACATACATTCTTGGAAATAAAACCTATGTAACAAAAAAGAAGTTGTATTATTGCTGAACACTAGATAGCAGATCTTTATACAAAATATCACTAGTTTAGGGACGCAAAGTTACACAACAATGACACTTTAGATTAAAAAGTAAAAATAAAATAAAAGCAAAACCAAAATTATTCTTATTTAAAAATAAAAGTGGCAATTAATACTTAGTATATATAAAATAGTCATCTCATAAATCTAAAAAGTTAACTTAATAAACATACATAAGTACATTTAACATAATGAAAATATGTATTGATTTCATGGCATGGACTAGATGACATAAAATTAACCCACATTTTAAAATAGTTTTGTTACCATGTCTTCAATATGTAAATGTGAAGATAGAAACAGTTTTCAGTTTAAACAACAGCAAAGGACTCACAAGACAATAACAAGAAAACAAAGTGATGAACAACTAAGCAGGATGGAAATTCTCATACACTGCTGGTATGAATATAAATTGGCATAATCTCTTTAGAAAATAGTTTTTAAATTTTTTTTTTTTTTTTTTTTTTTTTT